GAAGGACAGGCCGAGCTTCTCAAGCCACCCCTTATCCTCTGTCAGGGGGCTCTCACTTTCCTTCAACAACATCTCTGGTGTGTAATAACAAATGTATGGATCTACGCAAAGGTGGCCGTTTATGGCTTCAGTTCGAACAGCCGCCCAAATTATTCAACTTGATCTTCAAACTTCTACCAGCTCCCATGCTGGGCTTCCTCCTTCTAACCTATCCCAGACTTCAAGCCAAAGCTGGGAGCCTCCAACCCGTGAGCCAACAGCTTGAGACTTAACGAAACAGTCCTTGCCGGTATACCAATTTTGGGCACACATTGAAGATGCTCAGACACATAAACTTGGAGCTGCACCCAAGATCCTGATGCGCAACTCAAAGCGTTACTCACTGAGGCACAAACCTTGAGCTTGATACCTGCGAGCCCAGACTCTCTCTCTCCCTCTCTCTGTCTCTCGAAGTGTCTCAAGGTATTTGTCGCGGGACCTTGCAGAACTGCACCCAACCACGGCAGAGTTCCTGCAGTTACGCTGCAGCCCCTTGGAGTCTGATCTCGGGTTACGCCTTGGGCGACAGCTTTGTTGTGTTTGCACGTTTTGGTTTTCATGCATGTGGGCCCAGGAAGTTGGGCAGGAGTTCGACTAGACTGCAGGTAGGGCTTCAGTATACGGCAACCCCCCCAATCCTGACCAGCAATTCTTGTGGAGCCTTTGGGGAGGGATTGTAAGGCTTACTTTGGACCAGTGAGGCAACTTGGAGGAGTCCATGCATACCCTGACACCCGGCTGCACTTGACTTTCCCTCGTCCTCGTGAAAGACCACAATGTCTCGCATCTTTGAGCACTTGAAGACGCCTTGCCAACAAGCATATGCTTGGCTCCTGTAAGTGGTGGTCCTAGCTCCCTTATGGGAAGGTATGGCTCCATCACCGGCGGCTTCACCTGGATAGAGGCATTGGTTTAGAATCCTCTTAAAGAGCGGTGTATATGACTGTCTCGCAGTTTCTGGTACCCTGAAGCCCGAAAGTGAGGCACAACGAAAACTTGTCAGGCGCGGGACGCTTTCGCCAACATTTCCCACATATGGGGCTCGGAAGCTCAGACCTGGGGTTGTATTCAATGCTTGGTTGGTGCATTGGTTTGAGTGGTGGGGTTGGGAGGCATTCAGCTTCTGAGCAGTGTATCTGAAGACATACCCATCCTGGGATCTGAAACGGTTTCGCATGTTTGCCGCTTTTGGTGCATGCCACTCCGCTGTGTTTCTTAGCAGCTGTGGTGATTCATGCGCATCCTGCATTACGGGTGGATTCAGGCTAGCGGTTTGAGGTCTATCTTCTGAATGAATGATTTGATGTATCTGCGTATGTCGCTGTTTGTTGAAAGCTTCCGGCAAGACTAGCTGCAGCGACTGTCGGAACAAAGAAGAAGCACAAACTGTGATTTGTCAATCTTGTGTCCTACCACTTGCCAACGGAGCCCCGACCAAGAACCAAGAGCCGCATGAACATCAAAGAATCGCCCAGGCTTGCTCTTCGAAATATATATCGCATTCTGCAATTTTGCAGCTTTTGGGTTGCACTTGGAAAAGAGTTTTCTGAAGCGATTGCTCAGTCTCAGCAGTAAAGTAGCCAGGAAATTTCCAGTTTTGCACAAGCTTACAAGAGCAACCAAGGTCCTCAATGCAACCTGTCTGAGAAATAGTCGCAGGTTTCTCCTTCCTTCGCTCGACAAACGTGGGTTTGGGTCTATGCAGAAGCCCCTTCAGGATTGCCTATACGCCTAAGTTTTGATGATTCGCACCCGCTTTCAGGCTTAGGGGTCTTAGGGCTTTTTCAGGGTTTAGGACGAGGATCATCTTTTGGGTTCAGGGGTCTTTCAGTTTTTGACAGCTGCGGTTTGGGTTTTAAGTTGTCATTTTCTTTTGGGTGTTGGGTGTTTGTAGGGGTTCTGGGTTTGAGGGCTTTCAGCGGTTTTTGTTTGTAGAGGTTGGAAACTAGAGCAGTTTGGTGCCTAGACTTTTTATGGCCTTCAAGGCTTTAAGGTTCCGCATGTTGGGATTCAGCGATCTTTGGGGTTCATGGTCTGCGGGCTTTAGGGATCAAGGGTCTTAGGGTCTTTGTGTTGTACGCTTCAGCAGGAATCGTGTGAGCTGTAGCGCTGCCCATCTGCAGCTCGACTGCCAGAACATATTGTTCCTTCTGCATTACATCCTGGCTTCATCAAAGTAGCACAGCAGTCTGTGTGTTTCAGACGTTTCGATACAGACCGGGAACCTGTTTATAAAGGCTGGTGCGAGGGTCTATGGGGCCAAGACTCAATTATCTGGAGCTGGGATGAAGTCGCTTCTGGCTTTGGCTTGCAATTGCTGCTTGTGAGGATGCAAGCAAACTTGACGTGAATACGTGTACTATCCAGCCTTACCTGTATTTCCTTCGTAGCTCAATGCGAATCAAGCACCTGGCACACTGGAGCCTCGAAAATTGTAAGTACATATGTATCTTCAGGATTTCTGAGCACATAATGAGTGTGTAGTTTTTGCAGCCAGCTTCAAGCAACCCGCCCGCACCGAATGGATGTGCCAAGGATATCAAGGGATAATGCTCACGAGACCAATCTAAGTGCAGCAGCAGACATGAAATTATTATTGTCGCTATACAGCTTTGAGGTTCTCCCCATCAGCCCAGATACGTTTGTGCTGGTATTATACCGGCAAATTCGTGGTCAATAATACGCTGGGAAGCATATCAATGCGCTACGTTTACATGCCATTGTTGATGAAAGGAGCAGAAGAGGCTGCGGCTGGCGAAATAGGCGAGTTTTACAGCTGCAAAATCTTGAGGATTGGTAAGTCCGACTGGAATGCTGAGCTCACGCGCCAAAAGTTGTAGAAGATGATCGCTAAAGACTTTAAACTGCAAAGTAGTAGATGGCGTTGGCGGTCCGGCTTGGAAAAGGAGGCCTCAGCAAACGCGGCTCTTTGCTGTCAAAAGCAAGGATATCGAGGACTTGTGGGACCTTGCGCCTGATCCGGATTGGGTGTTCAAACACTTCGAAATGTTGGGAGTCTGTTCCCGTTTGAACCTCAGGTGCAACACTGAGAAAGAAGAGCGACGGCTGTTGGCCGCTCGTAGGACGATATCCATCCTGGGCCTTTTGCGATTACCAGTCGCGAGGTCAGAACTTGTGTATGGATATGTTGTCGGGGCAGCCGCACAGAACGACAGCGCTAAGATTTGGTGCTACATCCGCGGTGGCCCGGAGTGTTTTTCTGTACCGTGCCAATCTTGTACGGTGGCAGGGCATCTTGATGCGCCTGTAGGATGCAACTTGTGGCGTTTTGCCAGTGATGTGTGTGAAGCTGGGCCTCACGAGTGGCATCAACGTCTAGGAGATGTCTTCTGCGCTCCGAGGGATTGGCTCCAGGATAAGTATTGGTCCGTTCAGGAGCCCTGGAAGTGGACTGGTGCTCACAGCAGTTGTGATCGTGGCGTGCGCAGGTTCTCAGCTTCCAGGGATGCAGTTGCGCACGCGCCCTCAGGGGTGGGGGCATCAGCAACGGTGTAAATTCATGTGGCAAGGGCGGCATGAAATTCAACAACTGTGGATGACTTCAGGTCTACAACATTGCGTACGATTTCAGGCTACCAAACAACTTCTTGAGCTCAAAGCCTCCAGAAGATTTGATGCGAGCGCTTTTCTGCCACTTTTCGAGATCAGAGCAAGCGCTCAGGCAAGTAGATGCTGTTGGCAAGACTGTTCGTAGCTCGGCAACTGGCACCGCATTGCTTGGCAATGCTGTTTCAGGCCTGAGCACGCTAAACATTTCAAGACTGTTGGCTTCATGGCCACTGAGACACGCATGGGTTGGATCCGAAAGGAGCGCGAAACTAAAGGTTTCCAGTTTCTACCCTGGCTTGGCAAGGTCCAAGAAACATGTGAGCGGCAAGACACAGGAACTGAGGCTTGGGGTTGGGTTTGGGGTCAATGCGGTTGATGTGATTCTCCGCCAGGTTATGTGCACCTGGATGCTAGGCTTTGTGCTTGTGTCTGAACAGCGCTCAAGTTATTTGGCCGTAGGAGCTTACGCCCACTCCTACTTTTTACATCGTGCCGTGCGAGTTCCGGGTGTTTGTCACTTAACGTTCATCATCATCATCATCATTGTCATCATCAACTGATGACTTAGTGTTCTGGAGTTGCAGGGCCCAAGGTAGCCGATTTTGTTTTCTGCTATTGCTGGGGTACCATGGAACCTATGCACACAAAGGTTTCAGAGTTTCCAAATCCGGACGCGACGTGTTTGGCTTGTGCCTACCCCTTTGCAGCCCAAATTTTGGTATGACCGTCATTGGGCCCTTTTGTTGTTTCCAGTACCGGAATTATGAAGTCAAACAACAAGCAAAGAAGTTTGAGCAGCAGGGGGTTTTTGTAGGAATCCTTTTTGATGTTGCTGAATAAGCCTCCAATCATGAGATGTCAGCTTCAGACATAGGGGGGCGTTTGCACCCAGATGCCTGGCCCCAGCCCATGTGACCAAAAACAAAAGAGAGAAAAAACAGAGCTAAAGCAAAAACAAGAGTGAGAGCAAGAGTGTTTTTATGAGTAAGAATAATGTAAGAAAAAGAGTAAAAAGGTAATAGGAAGCTAAAGAGCAGGTGTAAGAGCAATGAAAGGTAAGACTGGGACAAATAAGCTTGCATACGTTACACAACGATCAATTCCTAGCACTCGTTTTGCGTTTTGTTTTGTTCCCCACACTCGCAGTGGGGTGGTTAGAATTTCATGTTGTCCTCCTTTCCGCGCAGGGCCTGGCTGCAGTGCTCAGTGGCAACGTATCCGTGCAGTGAAAACCGCCGATGCTCAGGTCATGACTGGGGTTTTCTGCCAGAAACTTGGATGCAATTTGGATTTTTACGTCATATATGGTTGATTAGTTTGGGTGTTATCAGTTTTCGTTCAGAAGGGACTTACGCGCATTTTTTCGGCAACCTGGGGAGACCGAAGCCGAGGTCCGCTATCGAGTCTGCTGAGAAGGATTGCTTTTATTGCATGTTGAGATTTTGTGACCGGGGACATACAACAGATGGCAAGCATTAAGACATGCGGTTCTTGTGCGCAAGCAGTACAACGTTGTGCATGTTTTTTTCGTTTCATGTCGGTGTAGTTCACGCAAAACATCGCCCACTCGCCTGCTTGGAACCCCATGTTTGTTGAACTTAGTTCGAATTGCAAACGTCGACAAGTTCAGCTCGTATGTTTTCGTCAGATGCCAGCATGTGTGCGCTTGGCCAACCATGTTACCATGTTTAATTTCAGCAGCAGACGTCATCATGCTGACATGTGTGGAACCCTTCATAAGGCGTGGCTCCTCCCAGGCTTCCAGCCCAACACAAAATATTCAAAGGGAGACGTGGGAAATTGTTTCTGCATGTTGAACATCATGCGGCTTGCTTAGCAAATCGTTCTTGATGCGCAGGACCACGAACTCAACCTCCAGAGCGTGTCTGCGGAGATGCTTGCAGTCAGTATGAATCAATCATTCCTTGCCGTCAATATGTCCGAACCATTGTACATGCAGTTGTGCTGGACTCCATGATGTGCATTTTCCAGCATACATGCTGCAGGAGCGGTGGCCAGGACAGACATGTGACCCTTTCTACTTGTCGCGTGCTAAGGAAGGAAAAATATTTCCGAGCCGTCCGACGACTTTTCACCACGTTGGACCAGAATTCTGATGGAGGCAGCTTCGGTGTCAGCAGCCAAAACTTTGCATGACCATTCATGCTTTTGTATTGTGCGTCGTCGTCATGACCATGAACGCTGCGGAGCAATCCAAAGATCTTCAATCGCTTCCACTCTGGACGGGTTAACTCCCAAATTCAGGATTCCGAATCCGACGAGTTTCTGCAGAATGGTTCGGCTTTTTGGTTTGTGTGGCAATGAGACAATGGACTTCCAAAGTGCCAGCTTATACTTGCAACGCCAGCTGCTTGTCGACTTTTAAACAGGTCTCTCTTTCATCTTGTGACATTTTGACATAGTGTTTATTTCTATCCCATACCATTGCGACTGAGTATTTTCGGCTGTGTTGTCGTCGGTGGCGAGCTCAAATTTTGCATTTGGGAGTTGCCAGCAAGATGTTCTACTTTTCCATGTCCACGCGTGGCTTTTGGGGATGCTAGAGGTTTTTAATTTCATCCAGCAAAGATTCATAACGTAGTGTTGCAACATACTTAGACGCTAAAGGAAACCACTCCCAAACCTGACCAGCTGGGGACCTCAAGGTCTTGCGGGGCCTTCACCTGGTGGGCCCTGCAGTATGAAGTATGTTTTTTTTTAATAATCATACTGTGGACTCTCAAGCTGATAAGTTGCTGAGAAGCTTTGAGCCCCGGGCAGTCCTCTTTCGTTGTCAAGTTCCGTTTTGAGCAGAGGAGTTTGGAATCTCGGAGCCGCACACCACCTTTGCCACACCCAAGCCTTTGTCACTAAACTTTGTGGTTGCCAGGCATCACCAAGAATGAGTTCGAACAAGCTTGGGACAATCCTGTGTTGCAGACAGCCTCTCGGCGAGAGGGGTGCTGTACAAAATAGGTGCTCTTGGGGGTATTGAAGCTCGTGTAGTGTCTTAGATCTATGCTGGTAACTAGGCTACATTGCATGTCTGCGGCTTGCTGGACTTGGCGTATAAAGGGTACAGGCTAGATGAAGATGCAACTGAGTACACGTGTGCAGCCCTTCCTTGCAAAGTACAACTTTCAAATCTGTCAATGCAGTTGGCACGGTTTGTAGCAATGGCATGTGGCAATGACAGCTGCCCAAGCTAATTTCAGGGGCATGCGCATGCCACTTTTGCTTGCCGCGGCACTGTTGCTTTGTGTTTGCAGAATCCAGCCTTACACTGAGCCAACAAGCATTCCGACAGTTCTCCACAGTGTACCAAGACGGCTGCTTGTAAGCGCTGCGAGACCGTTCTTCACCCTAAGCCCTCCGCAAAGAATCTAGGGGTCTCATGAGCTGCAGGTCTTCGATGCCCTGGAGATTAGCGCTTCGGCGTCGGAGGGGGCTCTGGGCTTTCTTGTGTTTTCGGTCAAGCGTTCCATTTTCCAATAGAGGCCTTCATTCGCATAACCTAAGTAAGGGCTCAAATCTTTTGCCCATCGCTTTGTAGCAGCTTGGATGCAAGCGCGTTGATGCCTGCCAATTTCTCAGAGGACATCAAACGGATCTACATCCCCACCTCTCTGTGCATGAAAGGGCACCTCAGGCTGACCTTAGGCAGAGATGTCTGAAGCGAAGATGGCTCAAAGTCACTTCAACTACAGGTTCCATATGCTTTGCTAAAGAAAGCTTATGCCATTCTGACTCCCAAATCCCTTCAGGTGCTAGTGATGCTTGGCAGCTCTTCACTGAGCTCGATCAGGACACGATTTTTTCGGGCATGCTGGTATATCAGTGTTGTGAAAAAGTCAAGACTAGTTGAGTGGCCTTCTTCAAAAATCAGAGGCAGCTTGTGAATTGGATCAGATGATTGCTTTGACTTTTGGTGCATGCCAGTTCAGGGGTTTGGTACGCATTTGTGCTTTCCCAAGTGACATGGCTACGCCACAGAATTCTGTCACTGGCTCAGAGGCTCTACCTCCTCTTTTTGAATCAGATGCAGCTCCTGAAATCATGTACAAAAGGTTGCTTTCTGAGCGCTTCATCCTCCTCGGGTCATTGCCCTCTCTGGACACCTGGAAATGGGCTGGCTGATTAGAGCAATAGCCGCAGCCTGATGACTTTCTAGGTCCGGTCGAGGAAACCTATCATGCTGATCCCGAAGCTGAAGCTTCGCTGCAGAAACCCTGACACTAAACTCGTTGGTGCCCTCTGTAATCTGTCTTCTTTTTGAGGACGGAAGCGGCGAAGTCGATGTCGACGAGTAGCCCGGATCAAGCTGATTAAAGTGTCGGGCGTTACCCGCACCCGATTCGCGAGCTTCGGGGTTGAGAGTTCGTGCTCAGACCTCCCTGTTTTGAGCTTAAGGCGTCTCTTGAGCTTTGCTAACCAAAGCTCATTTTGCATGGTGAGCGTATGTTGTCAGCGTCAGGGTGGCACGCGTCGTGTTTTCCCATTGCCGACAAACCAACAAAGTTCACTGTCTGCTAGTCACCTTGAAGAAGCATGCATCATTCTAAAGGTATACTTGACCTTTGAAAGACTAATGCTTGATAGCTTGAGACACTGGCTGTGCAGACCTTCATAAGTATCTGTCCATTGCATATGCTGAAGTTCTGAGTGTGGAGAATGCATTGTCTGGCCCAATTCCAATGAAAGAGGCGTTTCGCCGATGTTCGTGAAGCCATGGTGAGTGTTCAGATATTGCTTCATCCGTTCATGTGACTATTGTTAGCGCAGTCTGATCAACTCGCTGTTGCCAACAGACTGCCTTTGTTCGCAAGCCACTGGAGCAGTGATTGCACATATGTCAGCAGCCCCAACATGCCCTTGTACTATACCCCACTGACACTGGTGGACCAAGGTTTCTTGAAGGCTGTATGATGCTCAAGGGGCCTGCTCGGTCGATCGATGTGGTTCGCATCAAGAAGGAGCTCATTTTGACAGGGGCTTGATGGGTTGCAGGGTTTCGTAGGGGCTTTGGAACATGTGGAAGCTGGGCTGGGGCTTCTGAAGCTGTAGTTCACGGATCTTGCAGGCTGCAGGCGTCGAGAAGAGCTTTGGATTCCTTCGTTCAGTTACTCCCATGATCAGGTTTGGGTGATCCTGTTTTAAAAGAAGCTTGGGACTGTTATCTGTGTCGACTGAAAGCTTTACAAGCGCAAATGTATTGAAGCCGCGGCCTCACTAGCTTCAACTCCGCCCATCTCCGCCCGTGAGCCTGGCACCAAGCCCTCGGCAATGTATCCGTCGGCCACCTAGCCCTCAACCACGCGAACGTTGTTTGTTACGTCCTACCTCCCCAGTCTTGCTTTGCGACTCATGGACTCACAGACATCAGCAACTGACTGAATTTACCTTTCGATCGGGAGGCTGGACCGACGTTGTACCCAACAACACATCACTGTAGGAATGTCTCAATGACAGTTTTTTTGCGGTTTGGTAAAGCACGGCGTGCAGCCTATGTAAGCCTGGAACACAAAGGGGCCAGAGGTATTTCCAACCTGTGCTCCTCCCGTAAGAAGCAGGAAGCCCACGCCATACACCCAGTCCTTTGGCCATCATGCCCCACCCAAACCATGCTCATATCGAAAAGCAGACTCGTCCGCCATGGAGTTCTTGATTACTTGGAAGCGTCGTAGACGCCAAAACCTGTATGTGTGAAACAGCGCAACTCCCTCGCGCCAGGATTTGCTCAGACTGAGACAGCGCCTGGAATACATGCTGTGAGCTCCATCTTGGGTTCTAAAGGTTCAAGGCTTCTCTATGTGTTGTATCTCTGTGATTTCTTGTTGTATTGTAATTTTGAGTTTTGCATGTGCGTGTTACTTTTGGTTTCGAGCATGACATTGTCTCGACTTTGGTCAGGTAGTGGCAGCTGAAGCAAGACAGCTTGCAGAAGTGGAAGTATAACATCCTCAACTCCGGTTCCAGTGGAAAATATGAAAGAACAGTGATTGTGACAGGTAGAAGGTGGTAGCAACACACAAGTTCTTCAGGTCCCTCCAGGCTCTGTGCCTCTGTGCCGCTCAGCTCGTTTTTGTCTCACGCTCTTGTACCTTTGGCGTTGAACGGGCTCTTTCGCTTCAAGGCGAAGCCTAAACGGTCAAAGAGTCCTTGCTGATTCCTTTGTGTTTTCTCTTTTGGCAAGAGAGCAGAAGCATGGTATTGATCCCAACAGGGGTATTCCTGGTAGTCGTAGTGGAAAGAATATTTTGTCAGCAGTGGCAGCAATTGTAGTAGGATTGTTTATAGGAGGGTGAGCAGGGAGTTGCAGGCAGTGCAGAGCTCGGGGTAGTTTGGGCAGTGTTGTTGTGTCTTCGCTTTTCCGGGAAAGTGGAGAGATTTGTGTAAAGCGCGCAGCCCCAACCCTAAAATTCCCGAGCCTGGAGCCCGAAAAGCGCATACAGTTTGAAGCCGTGCATGAACATCTCGCGCAGGGGAGTCAGCAAGAGCATGTCAAAGTGAGCTGGATAGCAGCAAGCACTTCCTTCCTTGCAGCAAGAAGCCTCTGAGGGTTTCAGCTAAGGGTTGTCCGCACTTTCAGGATTAATTACTGCTTTGCAGTTGTCATGCGTGCGTGCATGGCAGGCAGGCTTCGGCATGAAGGGAGCAGACTGATATTTAGTGGGCTGTGATCGCATTTATGTCTTTCATCCTCGACTGCTAGATCCTACGTTGCGTGAGTCAGGATTCTTGAGCCGGAGAAAACCTCCCTTTAAGGCCTTACACAACGTCTCATGTCGCTGAAAAAATACTGATTGCCCGAGGGCTTGAAGCACGCCTTCTGCTAAATCCTTCAATCTTCAGAGCAAGTCTCCTGCTTAGGGACAAAGGCAAGGCTTGCTGCGCAGCCGTACTTACGGGTGCTCTAGCTTCTCAGTCTTGCTATCAGCGTGTGGCTGTGCCTGGGCAGCCACGCTTTTGTTGGACTCTGGGATTTCTGCCCTGCGAGCTGCAAACCCGGAGAGCTCAGACTTCCAGTCTTCCTAGCTTCATGCAATTTCATGCAAAGATTGCCAACGAGTCAGTATTGCCTTTCTTTAACGTGCTCCAAACATAGACGACCTCCTTACTCCTCAGTGGTTCTTCAGGAACAAAGCAGGTGTCGTGAGCCCAGAATGTCTTGGGCCGCGTGTAGCAGCCTGGGACAGAAACCTGGAGACTGCCACCCAGTGAATTTTTTGTGGGTTTCTGAGGAAGCTGCATCAAACTAGCACCTACCCTCACACTGCAGGCGCCAGCCGCTAGCGTTTTGACGGTGCATGGTGGTGCTGTCAAAATAGGTTTCGCGTAGGTCATTGGGGTCAATGTAGAGGATGTGCAACTTGCAGGATGTCACAAGAAAGGTTTGCGTCTGCGGTTGCAACTTCAAATTTTATGGCTGGATCTTTGAAAGGGGTGAGGTCCTGAAGCTCGCTGGCTGCTTCAGGTATTCAAACACATCCGTTTTAGCGAGGTTGTGAATCGGATGACACAGAGGAAAATTGAGTGTGCAGGTCGACAATCACATGAAGGCTGGCTGGTGCCTTCTTTCAAAGCGTTCTGCCAATGTAAAACTGCCACAGAGAGAGCTGACATATGCGACTTCAAAAGAGATTTGCCTCTTCTTCAATGAGATTCAGGCTAATTGCACTTCATCCAATGCACGCCGTTATATATCCTCAGAGACACCACCAATGTCTAAGTGGAGCTGCGCTGAGGAGGGAAGGTCCGCGTGTGGTTTCCCAGTTGGTGATCTTACTCTTTTGTTTCTCCAGGCTGCGACTGAATGTTTGAGGGAGATGATGGCGATTACGCTCAGGGCCCCACGAATCCACAGCTTGGTTATAGCTTCGTTAAATTTCGTTAGGAATTTCAGGTGGCAATGGGTGAGACTCTCAACCTACCGGAGCAGGTTGGGCATTTAAGGTTCCTTTGAAGTGGAAGACAAGGTTACGCGATTCACTGCATGCTGAGTAAGCCGCGTGCTTTGAATGAATCAAGTCTTTTGGAGCACACGGGGAACCATGGACCAGAATATTCTCCACATGCAGCTCCGCACGCTGCGAGGGGCCTGCTCGGCATTTGCATGGTGTCTGCCACCAAATTAATTACGAAGGCTTTCATCTCCCTGGGCGAGTGGAGAAGTGGTCATATAGCCCAACTTAGGCAACTATGGATATCACAGGCGCACCACACTACTACTGGAGTAAGGTCCGACAGAGACTCTTTTGATTCGGTGTGATGTCTGTCATACTGCAAGTCGATGCCACCACAGTGCCATGGGCACCTGCTGTAGTGCTTCAGAAGATCTGACCACCTTCGCATTGCCAGCACTTTGCAAGCCAAGAATAAATGACAAGCGTTTTCAGTTCGTTGACGACCAGCTACAACTATGAAGTCCCGACCTCTCAAAGCTTGAACAACCAATTGATGCACGACCTTGGAAAGTCGGAAAAAAAGTCGGACAACAGCGTGCCCCAAAGTTGAAAAGTTGGTAAAGAGTTCCAAGCCTTCGACAAAAGTTGCTGACGCCCTGCAAGAGGATAAAACAGTCGAACACCAATAGAACAGCGAGAACCAAAAAATCAGCAGAGAATCGGCCAAAAATGAATGCCGTCAAAGGCCAAAAAAGAAGGAGATACAAGTCAAATACAATCGGAAGCAAAACCGAACATACATCGTACAAATTGAATATTCTACCGCGGATTTCCCCTACCCGAGTTTCGCCGAGCGTTAACCGATTTTTGCCTAATGCATTTTCATTCTTTGGCACCATATTTTGGGGGCTGTTCATGTTCGATTTTATTGCGACTCTATTCTGAATTGTCGTTGCTCGATTTCAGCAATGGCTGTTTGGTTAGGGTTTGGTTTTCAGAAGATTACAGGTGATAAGGAAAGCTCAGAGCCCCGACTTAATCCAAATGCACTCGTAGTGAAGCAGCAGATAAAATCCGTGCAGACCCCTTGCTGTGGACTGCACGCAGTTGGTAGAACATCAGGTCTTCTAGGTCTGGTACACCTTTTTGTGTTTCAGGATTCGACTGGTACCGCTCAGAAGACCAGATGTGAAGCCAAATGGGCTCGGCATGACCTTCAAAAGGTTCAGCCTGCTGTGTTCAAAGGGCCGCCACCCCCAAATGCGCCCCTGGCCAAGCAGATAGCCTTCTCGGAATCCTCCTCCCAAGCCGGCATACTGGACAGACTCCGCTCAGTATGCATGTCTCAGGCAAGTCTCACCAGCAAACAAGAAGTTTAGGTTTCTGTGATCCCAGCACTTTGGCTATTTGCTTGACAATCTCTCATGGCAGCTCTCCGGTCCGGACACGGATGTGTGGATCGCCAAGCTACCCCACGGAATGCTGTTTCCCCAAACTTGTTCCAACAAAGGTCCTCCAAAGAGATTTTGTGACTCAAGGATCATTCTGGGGTAGCGTTGGGATAACACTTTGGATGGGTCGCTGATGTGTCATCCGCTTCCGCCAAAACTGCTGCTATGTGTTTGGGGCTCTGGGTGTACTGCTTTCTGTTGTGCCCATTCTTGTTTGTATTGTGTTCAAGCTTCTTCGCTGTGCTTGGCAGAAATCACCATGGCAGCTACTGTGGTGCAGCAACGTGATCCTGGACCCCAACGTGAATCATCCACGAAAGCAACCATGACGTGCCTCGTAAGTATACAAAGCCACCAGGCAGATGTATCACGCACTGTTTTGTCCGCGGACCCTGCTTTGAGGTGACTGAGAATCCAAAGTGTACTGACGTTTTGAACCTGTAGTCCGCAGTAGCCCCAGGCACCCCTTTGTATCTTAAGGCGGGGCATCCCGATTGGCTGCCTGTGCTTCTGGATGAGCATGGGAATCAGGAGCCGAGACTTTAGTGTCTTCTTGTTATGCCCAGTGTCAAGGTGCCTGGATTCAAGTAAACGATGTGCCTGTGCGCCATGCAGCAG